TCATAACCAGAGGGTACCTCCAAAACCAATTGCTTTGGTCTTTCACAAAGGATTCACAAAGGGTTAAGGGGTATGGGTGATAAGGGCAGAGCCAAATCTCCACCCCTGCGATTCCGCACACGTGAGCCGCCCTGGAGAGTAGATGGATGAAGCATCTGCGAATGCCAGCATCGATACCTCGGGTGTGATACACCTGGGAACCACCTGGCAAGTTTATGGGATTTGACGGCAATTCGTGGGACATTTCCCAAGAGAACAACCTACATATCAAAAATTGGAATTCAATTGGGTGTTTAATTAGGAACTATGGGGTTGATGCGAAATGTCCGAGAAAAATAACGCCATTGATGGGGCCCCTTCCGAAACATTCAGAAGCCACCTCAAGTGACCCATTTTCTCAGATATTGATGGGGCCACTCTTGAGACTCCGGACGGCTCTGCGGCGGAATCTTCAGATGGTTCCAGCCCCGCTTCTCCTGAAAAACGTGGGCGCCAAGTGGCACAAACTTGGGAACCACTTGAAATAGAGAAACCCATGGATTTGGAATCGGAGAAGCCATACCAGTTCGCCAAGTCAGGATGCAGCTGTTGGGTCGACTGCACCCAACACTCAAAAAGTGTCCTCCGGTGTCTCTTCCGTCAGATACACGTCATCCTTGGCCTTAGGTCGGATGGTCGTCAGGTTCACCCGGGGGTCAAGGGAACCGGCTCTTCATGGTACTCCAATGTATTTCCACCACTTTTGGGGAAACACCCAGCCCACCCTGGAGGTAACATGTTGTCTCCTTTTATTGAATTTCTGGTCACTCTGCAGCTCTGCACCCGGACTCCAGCAGACGGGGCCAGGAGCGTGGGGAAGGCTTTCCTCAGCCATTTTGGCTTCATCTTTCCCAGATACCAACGTCCGAAAGCAGCACATCCCCATGTTTTGCTCCTGTGCAACAGCCATCAGTTGCAGCACCAGTTTCACCTCCTGGGGTACCAACTCAGAGATGCGAAGCACATCGGGCATGTGCGGAGGTAAGCAAGGCCTCAGGTCACTTCTAGCCATGTTTAAGGCATGATGGGATTCCAGTGATGTCAAACAACCTTGAGCTTGTTGCCATGGTGATTGAGGCGGACATATACAATCCCCTTAAGGCAAACCCCAAGTCGCTTGTACCTCCAACCCCAACCATGTCTAACTTAAGAATCCCAAAGATCATGGAATGAAGGTGGTCCCAGCAATTTGTGGTTTTCATGTTGCTTCCAGGCAACTGACACTTCTCATCCTGGGTCGCCCAACGAGGTGCTCACGGAGCTCAACAAGAAACAAACGGCCAAGGCCTCTCAGTGTTGCAACATGTTGGGCAACATATTGCAACGTGGGATGTGGAAACTGAGTCAAACCTGCAAGTGATATCCAGTGATCTTGAAGATCTGCTTGGTGGTTGAGCCATCTATCAGCATGGCTTGTCCAGCGATTCTTCATGGAGCTTCACCAGTCCACCTCGAAAGGCTCTGGAGACTGCCGAAGGATCCGCACCAACCTGAGTTTCATGGAGACTCTGCAGGAACATGAAATCAACTGCAAATCCAGAAAAAACCTCTGAGGGATCATTCACTATACTGAGAACTGCTTTCCGTTGATGTTTTTTGCACTAAACTAGCGGATGAATTTCTCTTCCAAGCTGCATTGGCAGTAGATCCACGCAAACGAAGGAGTCGAACTGAATGTCCGTTGCCTTGTAAAGAGTGCAAATGAATGGAAATGCTTTGGAAACAGTGCACGTATCACAGGATATCAGAACAGAATTCATTCACTCTTAGGTCTGTCATATTGTCATACTCCAACAGATATAACTACGTATGATTATATGAAATTATATGATTACATGATATGTTCAACTCTATTCAGATGCTAAAACTAGGTAGTGTTGTGCAAACGTGGCAGGCCTTCTCCACGAAGAGATCTGCTTTTGGAGCCTCTTTCACCTGTCGAAACACGAGTATCGTCTGTCTACAATCGATGGAATGAAAGGCATCCACAAGAGAGTTTAATAGGAGGATCTAGATTTGGATAACATGATCTTCTTCCATCATAGTTTAAAGTTTCAACTATTCATGTTGAACTGAATATTCCAAATCAATTGGAAATTAATAGATATGTTGCCATGATCGCCTTATAGTATCCATGTCTGCCGCCCCACACTCTCCGTCAAGGTTCTCGCATCAACGTTAGAAGCAATGCCTGACAAATTACCCTAGCAATGGAAGACCCCCAATTTAGTTATAAATGGTAACTGCCCACTGGTTTTGCAATGTTCTATATCTGGTTGGTGGTATACCTACCCCTCTGAAAAATATGAAAGTCAGTTGGGATGATTATTCCCGATATATGGAAAAAATAAAAAATGATCCAAACCACCAACCAGTTTTGGTATTTAAAATTAACCAACGAAAAAGTTTGACCTCCCAGTGCCATATTTTATTGTCAGAGGGTATCCAAAGACTTTTGCACCCTCAATCCACGAACCATCAGAGCCTGCACCGTCGCCAAGGCAGTCAAGAAGGCTAAACACCACCTCAATAGGTTGACACAGTAGATCATTGCCTGCCAACCAATAACTCCTGAGTAGACAAAATTTAACATAGTCCATTCCCAACCTTCATTGGATATGAAACATGCACCCATCAATCTTAGCTACGGCTATACCATATCAAATAGATTATAGTCACCTACTGGATATTTCCAAATATAGATAAATCATTACATCATATACCATGTCGTTCGTGTTATATATACATACATACATACATACATATACATGTATGTGTATATATATATACACCTATATATGTATCTTATATGTATATATTTATCTAGATCCAAGAGCCATGCTCTTGGGGCCATCTTCTGACTGGTACGATCATAGGTTCTTATCAAAGGGACGAATGGTACGATGAAGCCGGTACGATGGTACAACTTACGAGTACGAACAGGACAATCTCTGGGTGCAATGGGGCAGCTGTGGTGCGACGAGGGAGCGCACCAGCGGTGCGATGACTACAATCAAAAAACACAACTACTAATAATAATGAACAATATTCAAAATTCAAAAATATATAACATAATATAACATAATATAACTATAAATAAAAGAAAAAAAGACAGAAATTATAATCAATATCAATTTTATGTAACCAAAGAGACATGCATAACATCACTGGGTTTCTTGAAGTTTCGCTTGATGTGTGACGTGAAGAATGATAGGTCAGAGCGCGCTCGGTGTTCCACTTCCTTTTCCCCGATCCCCTGTCGATCTAGGGCTGCTGCACATGGGATTCAAATGGATTGTTTCATCCAAATCCAGAACCACTTAGTGGTCGATTACCTTCCATAGCCTCTCAGCAGCTAATGAATCACCTTTTGGCGCTTCAAAGCTGAAAGGAGAGAATTCACTTCTGCCTCCTGCTCTTCCTCTGAACTGGTCACATAGCGAAGTTCCAACAAGATTGCCAAAAAGATGGCCAACATAACCGTGCTGGAGAACCTTGGTGAATGCACATCCATTGGCTACACAGCTGCAAGTGAAACCAAACTGAACACTACCAGATTACAGCTACCAGTTGACCAGATTTTGAACAAGCAACGCATTTCCTCCCAATGAGCAAAGTGTTGGCTCACTGATCTCACAAAGATCATGTTCTGCAAATTGGAGCCCTTGCAAATGAAGGCCTTCTCGGCCTTAGAGTCGGAGATTACCCAAGATCCTTACTATGGAGAAATATAGAGTCAAATTATGTATCTTATCTGAATCTTATCTAATCATAACTTGACTCGACATTAAAGAAGTACTGTAAGCTTTAAGTAAACAATAGTGTGTGGCACATTGGCTGACGCATTGGTGTACAGTGTACATCAAAACAAAAGTGAAACTGAAACATTGAAGTTGGCACGGCTGACACACACAAAAAAAAAACTAAAGCAAAGGCGGGATTGCCCAGAACAAGTCTGCAGCCCTCCAGGTCAAAGAGTTTTGAGCTGGGCAATAATGTAGGGATCTCCTCTGCCACTCCACCTGAAGCCTGAAATCTTACCTTTACTTTAGTAAATTAGCAACTTACAACTTGAGCAAGTCAGGTACCGCGGTCTACCGAGTTTGTCTTGAAATTGAGACATGACCGAATCATGAAATATGCTCCTTGGCGGAGCTCGTGGGAGTACGACTTGCAGACTGATAGATGTCACCGTAGCGAATGATTTCGATTCCCTTCTTCTTGCTAGCCTTCATCGTTTCCCTCTCATGGTCGAGGAAGATCACGTTCTCAGTTCGAGCGGGGGTCCAAAGTAACTGAACGTCACCAGCAATCACACTGATACATTCACAACAGCGACACTAGCTACAATGCTACAACTGCAAAGACATTGGCAATCAAATCACCGACCCCGACACCTAATCTGCTTCAACAAAATGTCGTCCAAGATTCTTCGCGCTCACGAAAGCTGAGTGACTGAAACCAAGCATCATTGGCAAAGCGAGGTGGTACAGGCAGAGGCCATGACAGCCCTCCTGAGAACCAATCGTTTGCACAACATTCGATTGCACAAGTCATCCAACCATCAAAGTCATCTTATGTTGATTATTCTTAGTTTAAAGTTTAAAGTTTAGTTTAAAGTTTAAAGTAGTTCAAAGTTTAAAGTTTAAAGTTTTAAAGGTCTGTTGGGCTAAGCCACTCTTTGCTGCGATCTCCATATGCATCCCTTTCCACTTTGGTGTATCTTTCTCCACTAGTCCATCTAAGGTCTCTCTGTCAGCTTTCTTCGTCTTTGGCCCGTCTTCTTTGTTTGCCTTGAGACGGAGCCTGCGCTCTAACTCGGCAGCCACCATCGGATGATCTTTTGGCAGAAAAAAGTGATCCTAACTCAGAGTTTGAAAGTTGGAAGATCCAAAAAATGCAAGTTGAATGTCAAAAGAAAACAAACCTTGCAACGAAAACACTGAACTGAACTTAACAAATCAAGCTTCAGGCGGTTGGGTTTTCAATTTGAAAGCATTCAACCACATCTCGATGTTACGGAACGCCGACGCCTCTTGAGTCGACTTCTGCAGCCCCACGAAAAACAATCGCACCCGTCGCTGGGGCAGTCCGTAATCTAAGGTGCAAAGTTTGTATACCTGCACATGGTATCCATGAGGCCCTGAACTTTCCAAAGCCTTGATAATCATGTTGAGATTGCTGGCGTCGTCCTCTCCCGCTGACTCCATATCCACATTCTCCAATGTAAAAAAATCAACGGAAATCTTGTCCAAGAATGTTTTCACGGCCTTGAAGGTCACGAATGAGCTGGAATCCTGATCAACAAGTGCACCGGCCAAACAGAACAAAACCGGTGAGTGTATGCAGCAGGTTCAGGAAATGTATCTAGTTGATACTTGATACTTGAAACTTGGGACTAATACTTACTTGATAACCATGCAAAAGATATCCAATTCAGAGTTAACTTTTCAACATCAGGTCCTCATTTTCATCGGCCATCGCGGTGAGCATTGTTTGGAAATGAATGTTGAGCTTGGACAGACTTTTGCAAGAAAACCCACCATTGAAAGTCCATAGTGGCATCGACGGTCGGTCCTTGACTGCATGGGATCTAGGTTTGATGATCGAATCTAATTTTGAAACCAATCGCCGAATTTTGCTGCAGTGAAAAATGCAAAACCCCATCAGAATCAAAACGGTTCCAAACACATCACAAAACAAGAGTCGCAAGCGCCACCATGCCGTGCACATTCTCTGCGATCGTCATCAAAAATCTTCGTGGCATCAGTAAAGATACAACACGTGCTATCGGAAGATGTTTGCATCAAAAAGTGTTGCTTGGCCTTCTCGATCTCACAAAGGAATTCATGCGACGCCTGCCATTGCTTGTTCAAATCTCAAGTATATAATTTGCAAAACAAAACTTCAACTAAATTAAATTAATTCCAATTGAATTGAATAAACACCTGCAGTTTTTTCTACTTACTTATTGTGTTGGTAAGATCAGGTTGATGTACACAAGCCAAAAGTCAAATGTCCCTATACTTGACTCTCGACTCTTGATGAACGCAGTGAAAGAACCAAAACATACCAAAACAAACCAAACTCAAGCCAGCACACTTCTTTGTGTGACATTTCCTCCGGAAACTGCTTCTTGAGGACTCGAATGACCACGTCGACCACCTTGCCAAAAGTGCCAGCCCCTGAAAACATATCGGCAAAGCTCAAGTGATTAGGCAAAGATCGGATGCGGTCCGAGAAGGCTTTCTGCCCAATGCGATCGATGGCCGTCTTGATCATGATCTGCCAAGTTGGAACAAACGAGAATTATATCAAGCTGGAACAAACGAGAATTCAAACAACAAACCAGACCCTAGCCGCCCTAGCCTCAGCCGAACTTTCCAAAATTCGGTTGATGTCTGGGTGCTTGTCAGAAGGTGGGGCAGGATAATCATGAGATGGTGTATAGTGGACTTCGCCAGGAGTTTCTGTCGCAATCTCACTGCCTAGCTGCGTCTCTGGCTCTCCATTAACTTTGTCTTTGTCGTCATTATCAGCCCCATCCTCCTCCTCCTCATTGTCTTTCTCATTGGTCTTCGGCACCTCATTTGCCTCCTCAGCTTCCTCTGATTCACAACAGTTGACAAAGATCTCAAATGCTTCTAGATCTTTTTGTGGATCGGCTTTGGGATCACCAAATTCCAAACATTTGTCGCCTTGTTCTGCCTTCATGTCTGCCATGACTGTGGATTCAAAGAGTGGGAACTTCGGATGCAACTTGGCTCGTTCAACTTCAATTCGGAGTTCTTCGTGGCGCTGGGCGACGAAAAGATCGAAGAAATCCAAGTCAGCTTGTTGATCACCATCCGGATCTCCCCACGGAACATATTCATCCCCCAACTCACTCTTCAACTTTGCAAGTTCGGAATCTTCAAACAGAGCAAACAACCGATGAGTCTTTGCAAGAGCGATCTGTTTCTCGAGAGTTGCAGATTCAACGGCCATCTCATCATTCATCAAAGTTTCCAACGCTTCTGACAAAGAGATCTCTGCGCAATCTACATCCTCCGCAATCAAAAACATGGGCCTATGCAAGCAACAAAAGACTAAAACCATGAGCGATGTACGCAACCAATCGGTTATGATTATGATCTGACCAAAGTCAAATTACGTCAAATTCAAACTTGAAGGTGGTTCAGGTCAACCCTAACTTTCCTTGGTGCCAGCACGGGCTTCCACAATGGACAAGTCTGCTGCAGCTGCTGCATCTGGATGTTGAGCATCCTGTGCTGAACTCGCATGAGCTGATTCTGAAGCACGAGCTTCCACTGTTGAATCCGCACTGCGACTCTGATCTTGTTCTGGAGCAGCAGGAGTTTCATCTGTTGACGGTGCATTGCTACAAGGGTCTGGTTCTGGAGCAGAAACTTCCTCCTGTGAATGGAAAGCACCACCAACAATTATCATAGTATCAGTGTAATTAATCATATATTATAATAATTCATATATCAATATCAACTTGGCATGATGAATACGACATATTCATATAAATTTTCTGACAACACAAAACAAAAACATGAACATGTTTGCACCCATCCTCAAGTGCACCAACGGAGCTGGAAGCAGGACGAGTCAAGTCGTTTTCCTTTCGGATGACAAAGGTCTTCCACTGCTCCTTGTACTTGTTCTTCATGGTCTCTGACAATTCTGGGATACTATCGTCCTTAGCCTTAGATTTGCCTTTAGGTTTTGCACCAGGCGGCTTTGGCACCATTGACGACTTAGATCCTTTCCCCATGGCAACGGGCACTTGACAACACTCCTGATGGATTCACATGTTGCATAAATCATGTTGCTACTAACTATGGCCTATTGACTCGCAACTTGCCTACTACCGTAAAATTCATCTTTCATTCAGTTTCAGCGACAAATGTGCCTGAGTCATCCTTGGTCCAAATGAAACAAAACATCAAACTCGAAACTTGAAACATGAAACATCGGAGCTCAAACAATGAAACCGACAGGAACCGCTACAGCAATGGCACATAGAAGCAACTTGAAGCAACATATATTTTCTCAGCATGCTCGATCGTCGAATGAATCAAGTCCACCCGTTGTCGTCCAAGTTGAGTTTAGACTCGGACCTGACTTAAACAACTGCAGTTACCTTGTCTTGTGAGAGTTGCGGTTTGTCGAACCTCTCAGAGTAAGGCAAAGAACAACATAAAGACCCTTCGTTGGGGATCATCATTGACCCAGACTCTCCCCAGCACCCTATGGGTTCCAACGAGAGCGTCAAGCTGAGAAAACTAATTTACGTTTGCAACGTTCCCCCTGGGTTAGACTTTGGCAGAACCTCCGCCGATTCCATCACAATCACTCTTTCACCACGCACCGAAAGGAAACAACATATCAATTAATCAATAGCTAATCACATTGACGCAAGGAAAATGATTCGAAAGCAAGTTTGGTACTGAAAAGTTCAAGTTGAGCGGTCCTGCCACCTAGCGCTACTCAGACTCTAATCTGACTTTCCGGGCTTAAGGAACTGTAAGGCTTTTGCCTGTAACGCTCCGGGAATGTTCAAACTAAGCTCAGTGCAACTGTTCATCGTCTCATTCAAGGATTTGATCAACACAGCCGGCAAGGGAGACTTTGACTCCAACGCCTTTGTTGCCCTTTTCGATCCCAAAGTCTTGACCACGGTGATGATGGCCATGAGAGAAGTTGCCATGTGGTGGATAGACTTGGCCTGCAAACACATAACACTAAGGAAAATAACAAGCCACATGAACTCATGAACCGTCATCAACAAACAAACAAAACTACAAAAAAAAACTTTACAAAACAAATTCGGTCCTCAGCGAACTGATCTTTCAAAGATTCGATGGTCATACCATTCTTCAATACTGCCTGCCATACATTCATGTGAGCACTGAATGAGCACCAACACGACAAAGCAACAGCTAGAAGTGATACTCTTTGTCATGCAAATTCCGAGTTGCTGAAACCATAACTAGTATAGCGCTTACTTATCAGCAAGCCAGTGAAACATACACGCCTCGATTGCATCCAGTTCATCTTGAAGAGCACAGGTCAGCTTGCATAGTGTATCAGATTGCCCGCTCACACGCGTCAAGTCCTCTGAGCCAGACATCAATGGCATGCCGTTCGGTCCATCAGGAATCGTCAAAGATGATGGGTCTGGCAAATTGAGAGCCTTCAATGGCACAATGGAGTTGCGCAGCTTTTCATCCTGCTGGCGACTGCACAGGCCGTGTCCTACATCTCTTCGATAAACACGCTATCAAGTCGATCATAAAGTATGTAAAAAAAAAGTAAACATGAATTCTGTAACAACAACAAATATAAATATTCAAAACAAACTAACATATATATTGATTTCATAAACCAAACCTTCTCATTTCATTAAACTTAACTTACTTCATTTTGTCTCCATCCCACCTTGATCTGGAACCATCCCGTCACCATCTGGTCAACGTCTGAGATGTATTTGTCAAGTGCAGTCTGCAACTCTGATGGAGTAAGCTGCTCCGATGTGACCGACGAATCAGCCTTGATGGCACACAGCTCTCCATGGAAATCGTTTCGGTCGCGGACATGCATCAAAGTCGGCTTTGCACGAGCGAGCTCCGCAACACACGAGTCAAGATCCGCAACTGTGCCTCACAGGAAGAACCAATCATACTATGCCTTTCAGTGTAAGGTTTGTCTAAAAGCACATGTATATAAATGTTTTGGGTATACTTGTAATTGTATAGTAGTAAATGTAAATACATATACTGTATTTTTGTTTTTTTGGTTGATTGTATTCCAAAGGTATGTCAATCAAAGTTGGCTGAACACAATTTCAAAACAAAAGTAAGATGTTCTGTTCAACTGTTGACAACGACCAACAACATCAGCTAGCCTTTTGCAGCACTGGCAAGAGCATTGCACAGGCCCGACAGATCTAACAAGAGCTGGCGATCGGGAAGTTCACCAGGTAGAGCCGCTGCATGAAGCTGTAACTCCTCGACCTGCTTGCTATGATCCTTTGGGAACTCCTTGCCTTCTTTGACATGAGCAATCAGCACAGCCATGAGCTTTGCCCCATAAGCCTTTGCCGTCGACGATGTTGCGCTGTTCTTGAGCTGTCCCAAGGATGAGTGCAATGCTCTCCATGAGTCTGTGATGCCCTGCCACTCGCTAGCTTTGTGCTGCAATGCTGACGACGATAAAGTTTCCTGCGTAAGAAAAGTTCAACTTTTATGATTCTATGTATTGATTATTGATATATCTTGTGTTTTTATTATTATTAACTATTATTTTATTATTAACATTACTTTATCTTTTGATTTATCAAAATCTAAACCTAAACGACTTAAATTGATTTCGCAAAGTCTTTGAAACAAACCTCTCCTGCAGCTTGTTGATGTGCATGAGGAACGTGTTGAGGGTCATGCCAAACATACCCGAATCATATGAGCCAACTTTGGCATTCACCGTTGCTTTGGAGATCACATCCAAAGAATCCAGAAAGCTTTTCAATGGTCGAAAACTCTCCATAGATCCCAGGCTCTTCAATCCAATCCACTGGACTGAAGAAGGCGACGCCATCACTTGAGTGCTAGAAAGAGAATCCAAAGCGTCGGCGACATATGGCTGCACCTGCTGAAAATGATGATGCAATCAAAAGTATAGCAGGTAACAATGTAGCAGCAAGCAAATCATAGGGGCCAAAGAGATCAAATGAAACTAATGAAACAATGACATCCCCTTATGCAAACAAAACAACAACCTGCCTGTGTTGCGGTAGTGTACAACGCCACCAACAATGTTGCTTCTTTCAGCTGTGCACTCATCTGCATGAAGGCTGGCTTTCCCAATGATTTCGATCGGAACTTGTCTTTTTTCAGCTCTGCTAGTAAGGAGTTCGCTTCGGAGATGTGCTTGCACCTCTGAAGGTTTTCAAAAAGACGAGAAAATTAATGACACCAAACATACTACCATTGATACATCAAAAGAACCCTCACATACATTAGAATACATTAACGACTGATATTGCCATGTTCTCAGGTCTTTTTCGTTATATTGGTAAGTCAAGCCAAATTGCACTCAAAAAAGACAAGCTACATATCATCAACGTTGTCCGGCTCGATTTCATTAAACTCTTCCGGTAGCTTGTCCAATGCTTCTTGCAACGCATTTAAATCACCAAGCTCGGTTTCTCGCAGCGAAATCATGGACTCTGCATCTGCAAGCAGCTTCGATGCCAAATTGGAACTCTGCAGCGATGCAAGCATCAAGCAGTCGGCTTTCCTTGTGGATTCGGACATAGACATGTGACATGTGACATAGACATGCAGACATTGATGGACAAGCGACCTAAACTGAAACAAAAAGAAACACATGTAGTTTAAATGACCTTTGATTTTCTCGATCCAAAAGAAATATCATTAATTGTTAAAATGATTCTGACCAGTGGCTCCGCTTTGTTCTTCACCAACTCTTCCAAAGCCTGCAGCGCTTGTTTTGCAGGAGGAATAGGACTGGAATCAGCCCTTAGCAACGTGAGGACCATGCCGACATCATCCTTCATGGTCGCTGAGATGAACTTGTCTGCCCTTGACAAGGTTTCAAGAAAGTTCTCCACAGTCACCAACTCCTTCTTGTTGACAGGCGCAAAGATTGGCTCCTCACCAAGTTAAGAGTATAAAATGTTCAAGTCACAGTCGAAATTCTGAAATTGTGAAATCATTAGATGTTAAAGTGTTAAGTTAAAACTTAAAACTGAAACCAAAAAACACACAGTAGTGACGTCTCCTTCGACTTCACACCAGTGTTCTTCCCCAGTCTCATGAGCTGCTGTGAACAACATACATGCAAGAAATTGTGAAAGTCAACTGGATCGGTGGTGGGCACGCTGCAACGCTGATGGATGGTCTCGAACGTCGTTGAAGTCAGCGACTCCCAGTTGCATAGCTTCACGTCTTCAAAAATCAAGGATTTGAATGCTTTCCGAAGAACGACCGAGTTGTATTTCACACCTCCGTCAGCAGCTTGGTCAAGAGCGCTGAGCA